CTCATCCTTCCACATCATGTTTCTTCCCATGCTCAGGTTGCAGATGTCTTCACGAAATCTCTTTCATTTCCACAGTTGAAGTTCTTAGTTTCCAAGTTGGGTTTGATGGATTTCCATCAAAATCCAACTTTAGGGGGGGATGTCCGAATTATACACAACTAATCCTCAAGGACCTAATTGATCATCTTACATTAGTTTAGGTCCTTCTTTGTAATAAAGATAGTTTGTTTAGTTCGTTTTTCATTTTTCCCTCTTTTCCTTTCCGTCTATAAATAGACGCTATCACTGTATTTCAATTGTTGAATTGATTGAGTATAATAAACAAAATTGTTGATTCCATCTATTTGAACAGGTACTTTGCTTCCTCCATCTAGGTACTCAACTTCATAAAGATATTCTACTTTAGAAGACAATTTTTTCTTTCAGGGTGAGATAAGGATGAACTATAAGAAAATGAACTTTCTAGGAGTTGAATTCATATTTTATGTTTGGTTTCCTTCTATATCCTTTTTCCTGATTCATAGATCCCAATATCATCTCCATAGAGTGACAAAACAAAGAATATATCGGATAAGTAGTATTTGCATTAAACTTAAGCATACAACCAAAGCACAATAATGATCAATAAACCTCAATGTACTAGCTTGCTACTTCAATACAAAGACTACTATGAGATATCTTGTCAAAACTTCTAACTTTAGGAGTTTCTGATATTGAGGATCCTTCTTCAAAGCAACCACATAGCATACTCCTCCAAAAGTCAAGTTTAAGGGATGAACATGGCACTACAAACTGGTAGAGGAAATAGAAAGAAGGTAATGACTTGAGCTACCATAAAGGTTGGTAAAACAAAGCTTATTTAGTTATAGCTCCTATACCAAGGTTACAACTACAAATGAGGTATAATAGCATGACAAAATACTTTACTCTTGACACACTTCACATGCTAATACTTTAATTTTGAAACGCTTGGTCCTCTTTTAGCACTTCATCTTCGTTTTAGGTAAAGCAAGAACTAGACAACACTAAGTAAACTATAAGAGAGGAACATCAATTTAATATGTATAATTTTTTCACTTCTGCATATACTTCGACTTTTTAAAAGTAATCACCTATCCCTTTGAGACTTTATTTGTGAGAAAAATATATTGCCTTTGACAGTAAATTGTCATGTCAGTCTTATGTGTGATATTCTATGATCTATGAATTTGTTCTTAAAACTAGGAAGCTGGAAGCAAAATCGGAAGCTTGTCTGCTCGAAGGTTGTCAAAGAATTTGTCAGGTTTATAACGAGATGTTCACATATGGCGTACAAATGGGCAGGGAAAAGCACCTATTAGTAAGCTTATGGAGGAATACTATTTATTAAGGATTAGATGAAGTTAAAAGACTTCAATGCCTAGTTTATAGGACGGTGAGGTGTCGAGGAAGGCAAGGGGGGCACTTGATCTTTCCTCGCACACAGTCTCAATCCTTCTAATTTCCGGTAAGGTGGAGGTAGGATTGTGTGAAAGGAATAACATGTGAAAAATGTAAACATTTATGTTACGACGAAAAAATGGTAACTTAATATATACTTCTTTCCCTTCTGGTCGTACCCAAAGTTTTGAGAGAATCCTATGCCTAAAAGAAAGGGCTCGATCCTTCCTCCTTACCCCTCCTTTTACAGGCACTGGGCCAGGTTGGTTATCCCTAGGGTCTAGAAAAGCAGTTGAAATCTGCAGTCCTCCAATTTAACCTTTAGAAATATAAAGAGAACGCTTCCAGTGGACATCAACTTATCAATATGTTTTTCATTGATCCACTGATTGTAGTATCAGGAATCTGATACTTTTTTTTACCAAATTATCTAACAGGCGGAATCTGTTAACCTCTCTCTCTAACTTCTCTTTAATTTCAGAAGATATGTTATTCCTTTTTCTTTTTCCAAAGTTTGATCACTTTCAAAGATTTCTTGATATAAATAGTATAAATAAAGAAAACAACTCTAGAAAATTCATCTGGATCAGACAGAATAATATTTGACCTCTCACCTGGTTAGCCTGATATGCATTCGCAATATTTTCATCAAGAAGCATCAACAAGGATCTATTCAACTCATTCTGCTCAACCATTTCCAATAGCTGCATTGCATACAAGTCAGCTCCGAGTGACCAAACGAAAATCAGGAGACACAACATTATGATGTAACGAGATAAGAAAAGTATCATACAGTAGTCTTGACATTATCCGATGTCAAAATTTTCATTAAGTTCTTCCTCGCTTTTACGAGTTCATCTTGCATTTTATCATAGGCTTCTGCAAAGAACAACATAGACAGGTTGGGGTCTTATAGAGTACAAATTGTAATAGAAATGTTTTGGCTGAAAAGTTTAGGGTGTTTAACAAAACCTGTTCCTTGCTGCAGAGCCTTTTGGAGTGCTTCCAGTTCTATCAATCTGTCTTCCATTTCCTACAAACAAAATCATTGTAGATGCTTGCTTCTTCTCATTTATCTCGCAGAAACCAAGTCAAAAAAATTATAAAGAAAACCTGAGTCTTTGGCACGGCAAACCTCAGTTTCCCCAGTTCACCTTTCAGGTGTGAGAAAAATTCCTCATTCAATCTGCATAGTTTTTTTGTATTGATGTTATAGTATGATATTCATCCCTCATTATGTACAAAACCAGTACAATGATATATTAGAATGGAATACTTATATTTACAAAACAGCAAGCTTTGAATAAGTTGCAAGCATTGTTTCAAAAAGTACAAAATTTTAAATCATAAATTATTCATCAAATGCTTATTCTAAATGGGAATAAGGCCTTGTTTGAGCCACCTTTTTGTAGAATGAGAATGAAAAATATAACCGTTATTGGGGCCACATAAGAGATAGAAATTTTGAATTTAAATGTTGATGTGATGGATAACGGTCATATTTTTCATTTTAATGAGATAAAAAGGTAGCCCAAACGGAACGGGGGCTAAATTTACTTTGCCTCATTTTAATGAGGTTTGTATTTGATTCACTTGCTCCACTGGACATTGGTAAATAGGAACAAAGGGCCCAATCTGATGAACTCTGTTGGTCATCTCTAATGGGAAATGAGTACAATTATATTTTCAAATTAAAATAACAAAAAATAATTCTTTGAAAATAAAGAGTATTGCATTAAATGGAACTTTAGAACTTTATTGCAGCTTCCTAGTATAACAAAAGTAGGTCTGTGCACTAATCTCTTTGCCATAAACCAACCCACTTTTATCTAATCCACAATCAACCATCTTATAGAACACCAAATGCAAGTTCTGAGGTCCCTTTTTTAAATCTATGAAGTAAGGTCATGCTAAACTCCATATATTCAGATACATAGAGCTTAGACCTTTACCACCTCATTAAAAGGGTTCAAAGGCAGTGGAGAGGACAAGAAATGAAGTGAATCTTTTACATCTCCATTTTGTACAAGGAACTCAGAGAAAGTATGACCTGGATTCCTCGTTTATATATAGCAATTAAAAGCTGATCATTCAGTTCTTTTCAAAGTATTCCAATTCCTAGCTCACAAGGGATTCCTTAATCTCCATCGTGAGGTGTTTTGCATCTTTTAGTCCTTTACAGTTTATTGAAGATCTACTCGACACCTTTAAGATATTTAGCTTAGGGGATATCTTCAACTCGATCTCATGTGTGTGACCACAGCAAAAGATCTCTCTTACTTCCTATGGGTTTTCATTCAATTCTTTAAAATCATTATATAGAGTTATGGATTTCTCATAGTAAGCTTACCCTAGATTCTGCTAATCCTTCGTGATCATTCTAGAACTAAGATCTTCACCAAGGTGAATCTCTATGAACAAATTGAGAATTGGTCAAGTACTCAAGACTTGACCTTTAAAAGGCACATCCATTTGCACAACTCTAAATGCTATTTTGAAAACATGCTAGCTCCATCTAGCCACCTTAAGCTTGAGGGAAAGAGGGCGGGTTTCAAAAAGATAATACAAGCTAAATTCTTGGTAGGATCAAGTTTCTTGAAAGTCACACATCCAATAGGAGGTTTGTCCTCCATTTGCATATAATTTGGCTCCTTTTCAGTTAATAATAGGCTTCACCAACCTAGACACGAGTCTCGCCCCTTTCCTCTGTATCCCGACTTTAAACCAAGTTGCATGTTAGTCCTATAGCAAAGCACCGATCATCTAACATAGGGAGGTGGAAGCTATAAATAAGAAACGATGAACGAAACGTTATCGAAGTTTTGTTGATTCAAAAAGAATGCCGCAACACGATCACCTTCCAAATTCACTTGATTCCTAAGAATACCAAAAACCTAGGTATAAAAAACTCTTGGATTAGCACAATAATACAGAGAATTGGGACTCCTTGATTTTTAAATATCAAATACTGAGAATTTAACAGATTAAAAAACTCGAAAATCTATTTTATTTCAATTTAAAAACCACTAACCGTCAATAAGGCTTACCCCTTATTTAAAGAAATAACTAAAAACTAGATAAAGACTAAAATTAAAAATAATGACTATTAATGATGAGAACTTAATCTTCATCAAGTCTAAATCTAGATAAAGACTAAAATTAAAGATAATGACTAAAATTAACGATGAAGGCTCAATTTCCATCATTCTCCTTTGATTAATGAAGATTCATCCTCAACTCTTGCACTATATTCTTCATCCAATTCCTCGTGACAAGGACTATCTATTTGTTAGCTCTACGAAATGCTCATTAGCTGCTTTGTTCAATTTCATTAAAATTGCATATCTACCAGGACATGAATAGAAATTCCATGCTCAATCATCCATATTTCTTCAATATCAGAATAGTAAAACAAGTGTTTCAAAACTAAGGACATAGTTATCGCTTCCTTCCCAAAATTTGCCATGTTTCTTGGACATTTCTTCAAAGATTTCGATATGTGACATGTTATAAGAAATCGGAACATTATTGAATTTGCCATTATCCAATTCGAAAAATTCTTCAATCTCTTCATTGAAATTGGAGGCCCATCGTAACTGTCATTACCCAAATCCACTAATTCTTTAATTTCTTCGTCGAAGATTGGAGAACGGCTGTAACTGAAATTGAAAGATTCTTCAACCTTTGAATTACTGAAATGAGTAAAAATTGTTTCGTCCCAAATTAAAATTTATGTCATTAGATTTCACGAACACCAACTTGTTTCTATTAGGAACGAACTTGGCTCTATAGGGGACGAAGCATTAAAAAAAAAAATGATGAACACGTTATCGAAGTTTCGTTGACTCCAAACGAATGCTACAACACGATCATCTTCGAGATTCTATTGATTCCTAAGAATACCATAAATCTAGACATCAAAAACTCTTTGAATCGCGCTTGAATACAAAGAATTTGGACTTGTTGATTTTTAAATATCAAATACCGAGAATTTAAGATATTAGAAAACTCCAAAATCTATTTTATTTCAATTCAAAAATCACTAACTGCTGTTAAGGTTTACAACCCTTATTTAAAACAATAACTAAAAATTAGGCAAAGACTAAAATATACATAAAGACTAAAATTAAAAATAATGACTAAAATAAATGATGAAAACTCAATCTTCATCAAAACTAAATTTAGTTAAAGACTAAAATTAAAGATAATAACTAAACTTAATGATGAAGACTCAATCTTCATCATCATCACTACCTACAACTTCACATCTCACCATCTTTTCAAAGGAATTCATGCTTTAGGTATTCTGATAATTCGTGTACCACACCATTTATATGCCAGACACTACGCAATCCGACACTCAACAAGTGTCTAATCTTTTGCAGACGGGCATGACTTTCTAAATAGTACAAGTTGCCCAACACTAACTCCAACAACAGACTGAAAGTATTCTGTAATATCTAGTTTGTGTTAAAATGTCTATTATCGACACTGATGTGTTCATGCATCTATGTCCAAAATGAAGACATTTTTAAACGGATCTCTGTCTCTGTGAAGCATTTATCTATAACTTAGTCTGACACTGTATCCTAGCCCTGTGGCTGGTATATCCATCTCCAAAAGTTATGGCCATAGATGATACTTAATGAAAAATTCACTAGAACTGAATAAAAATATGCCTGATAAAAGCAACTAGGCAAAGAATAATCACGCGGTGTATAAAAAAAGAACTAACCGAGGCCTCATTCTTGCAATCTCAAATTCAATCTCCTGAGCTTCAGTATCAAGAAAATACTCCACCAGCTCGGCCGCAGTATCCGGTATCACCCGAGACTAATGCCAACATCAAAATGCCATACAAATACAATCATGTTTGGCCAAGTTCAAAAGATGTAAAAATTACTTTTAAAGTTATTATTTATTTATTTTTGTCTAAACGTTTTAGGTAACTTACTTTTCATAAAAAATGTTATCTTTTTACTTATTTCAAGTCATCAAAACTTCTGAATTTGATGCCAGAACAAACCCGAGTAAAAGAGAGTAATTCATCGATCAATATTATGAAGTAATTTGTCTAGCCCACCTCTCGAAGAGCTCGGCGGCGCTCTTTTTCTTCTCGGACATGGCGTTCGAAGTCTTCCCTTGCCTCGGCGTCTTTCTCAAGGCGCCTGTTGAATTCCAGTCTTGCTATGTGCCCTGTTTGGGGTGCTCTCAATATTCCTTCTGGGTCCTTCCTTCCCAAATTAAACATGTCAAACAAGTTCGAAATCATCTTAAACAAACAATAAATCAATCATCCAGTGTGTGTGAGGACATACCCATCCTATGCATCGAATTTTGGTGCTATGATTTCTGGGTTTTGTGAATTTGGTGCAATGGAAGGGAGAGAGAGTGCTGGTAGTGGTAAGCTTGAGAGTGAGAGTGAGAGTGAGAGTGAGAGAAGTAGCCATTGCTGGCCGTTAGTTCGAGTACTCAATCAGTTATCCGTTTGAAATGTACAGTGTCAGTGTGTGGATTCTGCATTTTAGCCCTTTTTTGTGAGACAAATGTTATTATCTCCAACATGCATGCATCCCCAATTTATGTGACGTCATTGTGGCATTAAATGATATGTGAAATTAAATAAATTATTTAATTACTTATCATTTAACCAATCATTTACATTCACATAGACTGAAAATGCATTCCCATTGAGGATGAATAACATTTTTTTTTGTTATTACTTTATTTTTGACCTCTTTTTTTTTTTGGGAGGATTTGTGCAATTTCAATTTTGAGAAGCTATTTCTTGCCAAAGTAAATGATACCATTAGCATTTAAAGTAAAATTTCTGAATGCCTGAATACAATTTTCCAACATGTCGTTAAAATAAGCGTCCAAAAAAGTCACCAACGTTCTTGGGTAAAAATCGAGAAAATATCTAGATCGTTGATTTCTAATGATTTAAAAGGCTGTTTTAAAAATGATTGGTGTAGATATTATTTTCTCAACCAACTTTGTACATGTAATATAACTCGTTTTCCCCCTACACCATGCCACCACATTTCCCCTTTTTATCCACCCGCCCCCTATACCCTCGTCCCCTTTATCACCCGCCCTTTAAAAATGTAATCACTTTTTTGGGTTTTTCTCATTTTTGGAGATCATTATATGATACTAAATGAAGTCGAAATATTATATTTTTAACATTATTTTAAAGTACTCACTGTCTAGTTTCTTCCATCCTTAACGGAACATAAAACAGCCAACCTTAACAAAAGTTACGATGCGTCAAAGTAGGTCGTTCCAATTAGTATTTCAAGAATTTCAATATCATCCTAACTTTAAAAATTTGCTGACGATTGTACGCGAATCGAATCCACAAATTGCCTATGTCATCTTGAACTCATTTCAAAAACTATATCGTAGACACATCTACTAGTCCAAACAGACTTCGTTTGGATATAAAAAAATAATTAAATAATGAGTGTCTCAAAAAGAGACGCCTAACTCTTTTTTTGAAAAATGTTTAAATTATTTCATTAACGTTTATTATATTTCGTCACAATTTTTTTAATATAATTTATATCATTTTTTATTAGAATATTTTTATATGGGTATGGCGTCAAAAAAATTCGAATCATTACATAAAATATAATAAATTAACATTGAATAAGGTTCAAGTTCGAATTATTTTTTTTCCTTTTAATCCGAGTTTTTATTTTATTAATTTGTTCTAATAAGAAAAAAATAATTCGAACTTGAATCATGGAATGTGGAGGGGTATCATGAGTTTGTGCATGTGTACTTATAGGACATGAAGAATCAACAGTAGATGGGATATGGAAAGATGGCTTGATAATGTCATTAGAGAATGGATCAATACGAATGATGTCAATTTTAGTTACGTCATGAGTATTATCAAAGACAAAAAAGAATAGAATGTGCTCAAGAAACACCACATGACGAGAAACATATAATTTTCTATTAATGGGATAAAAACAACGATAACCCTTTTGTCTTTACCCATAACCTAAGAAAACACAAATAGCATAGCGAGATATCAACTTACTACATTCGACTTCAGGACGACGAACAAAGCAAGTACAATTAAAGACTCTCAATGAGGAATATTCCAGATGATGCCCATTCATTGTTTCAAAGGATAATAAACCTGAATTATGGAAAAATAGAATCTTATTAATTAACAAAACAGTAGTAAGAACAACTTCTCCCCAAAATTCATTGGGAACTTTGACAGATTAGAGAAAGGAATGAGCAATTTCTACAATGTGTTCATGCTTTTATTCAACAACATCGTTTTGTTGTGGGGGGTATTAGTACACGAGATTTGATGAATTGTGGCATTAAGAGCAAGCAATTCAGAGAAATCAGTCGAAGTATAATCTCTACCCAAGTCACATCTAAAGTACTTAATTACAGAAGAATGTTGAGTTTTAGTAAATGCTCTACAAGAACGATAAATAGAAAGAAAGTTAACTTTTCGTTTAATAAGATAAACCCAACAATAAAAAATATAATCATCAATAAACGACACATAATATAGAGACCCCTCATTTTGTAGTAATAACAGCAGGCCCCACACATCAGAGTGAATAAGATCAAATTGAACAACAGAATGAGAAACACTTTCAGGAAAATGTAAAGCAGAAAATTTAACTAATTTTCAACCACTGCAATTAGAAACGTCATGAGTGTGCAAATCTCCCAATTGACCTTAGAAACTAAAAATTCCAAATGACTAGCAGAATCATGTCCAAGGTGAGAATGCCATAAATAAATAGAAGACGACGAGAATACTTATATCATTTTGTTGTAAAGCTAGTATATCATCTCTAACTGATACTGTTTTGCAAAGTTAGACTTAGTGTATTACTTCTGAAAGTGATCCCAAACTTACTTTGCTATTTTAAACTTCGTCGGTTGTGTACCAATTGATTGCTTAATAGAATTATAAATCCAAGTAAGAATTTTCACATTGTTTGACTCCCAATTATCTAACTTAATCACATAATTTTCACCAGTGTTCTTGGGTTTCACAACAGTTCCACTAACATAATCCCACAATCTTTTTCCCTTTTGAAAGTTCCTCATCAAAATATTCCAATATGAATAATTTTTACCATTTTGCGCCTGTTTGTTCTGCATTATTTTCTCATTAGTAGAAATATTAATACCGTTGGAGGTAAAGCAGCCTACAATTGTTGACTGCCTTTGTGTGATGGTGGGCCATGTTTGTGAAAAATAACGGGCAGAAAATTTCTAACAAATGAGGCTACAATGCAGAACAAACAGGAAACGGGCAGAAAATTTCTAAAAAATAAGGCTACAATGCAGAACAAACAGGGGCTTAATCTGATACTAATGGATTAAAATTAATCATCCCTTTGAGTACCAAATAAGCTACTACCAATAAAAAAAAATCAAATTCCAAGAAAAATAACGACAACCAACGTACCACCACAAACTATCACAGGAATATACTGCACAATACACGTATAATCAAACTAATACCACCAAACGATCAAAAACTCACGAAGGAACAATCGGTCTCTTTGAAATTGCCTCAAAAAATGCATAATGCGCCCTTAGGCGCCGTCGAAATAACGTGTGTGGTGGTACACGCGCCGGTCAAGTATGGTCGTCTCATCTTCGGGAACACAAATATGGTCTCCAATCTTCAAACGAAAGTTGGTTTTGAGAGACAATGTGTATTTTTAGTGGCGGCTGAACACAAAGTTAGGGTTTTTTTTTATTATTATTATTTTCAATTTTATGGATTGTTTAAGAAGGAATGGGATGAAAGAATCGACTTCAACACACATATTTGGGCTTTGATACCAAGAAAACAATATAAACTAATTTGATAAACTAACCAAAGGAGAGAGAATTACGAGAAGGAGAAGAAAGCATATTATTGAACCAACAAAAGATTTAGTTTCTAATGAAATAATTAGTTTTATATATTACAAGAAGAGTAAACAAAAAAAGAAATCTACACTAAAAGGAAACTAAATAAAATTATGCATAAATTAAATATGCTATATAAGGCTAACATTTTGTACTATGAATGCTACAATTTTCCTATCAAAGGTTTTCATTTCAATATTCTTCTTCTAGTTTCATTTCTTGAATAAAAGTTTCTTTCTGGATTCTAGAGAAATGGATTCAATCTCAATAACGTCTCAAATCTCTTCGGGGGAAAAACCCCTAATGAGCGAAATATGAATTGCAATAATGGCAATAGTGATGATAATACCGATAGACCAAGCAATTTGCCCAACCCCATTGTAATACTTTGCTACATCCTATATTTTTCTGTAGTCTTCTCCAAGTGGAACAACCATTTTTCCCTTAATTCCTATACTCACGTCTTTAAAAAAACACTTATCACTGATTAATCGCATCATGTTGCCTCGTTGAGATTTAGCGCATGTTTGACTAAGCTTAAACTCTAGGTCTTTAGCAAAATTTGATACTTTGAAATTCAAATTTTGATTAAAATTTTAAGACAAATAGCTGCACCCTTCAGTTTTTTTTTTTTTTTTTAAACATTGGCAAAACTATTGTGTAGCAAATAGATATAGGAAGGTGATAGAGGAGCAAGTTTGTCACGGCTCATTGAACGAGGCTCCAAGCACAACTACGTGACAGTCATAAAGTAAGCAAATTTAGGCCCACATTCCGTGTCATCCTGCCCATGTGGCATTTCTACCATACACCCATGAAGAGGTCGAACCCATGTGCAGGAATTGAACCCATATGGAGGTTGACTCATGGACAAGATAAGGCAATGCAATTCGAGGTATTGCAGAGGATCTTCAATACAAGATTTTTTGTGATTGATTGATGTTACTACTCACTGCAATAGCAACTCTAGTAAATCAATATTTGAAGTCTAGTCCTTGCAACCTAGGTCACAAAGCTGCAAACAGTCGGAACATCTAATGAAAATGAGCCTGAGATTGATAGAATGATGCCGTGACAAGGCGCTTCGCCGTTAAGGATGATGACATGTGTCTCTTCAGCCAATAATTAGTATTTATGTGTCTCTTTCTATAAAAACTCGTACCTTAAAGCAAGATTATACATTCAAAGCTATAATCTTGCTCTCATTTTTACTCTCCATATACTCTAGAATCTGAATCCCTTTTTACTTAGGACGTGTCTGGTGGCGCTAGGTATCAAAATTTCAACCGTTGAAATGTCAAAAAATGGACCGCTGTTGCATTTCTTAATGGACAAAATCTGACACCTTTGCAGTTGAGGGACAACCCATTTACACCCATTTTCCAATTTTATCCCTTTACAGTAGAGAACCTTGAGACTTTGCACATGTGATGATGATGAAATTGTCTTTTGTGTTCAAATTCTCGCCAATACTTCAAATGGTGGTGGAAAGTAGAACCGCCTGATGTGACCCAAAAATTGATTTTGGTTAGGGAAAAGTTCTTCCACACACACTCTAAAGGAAACTCATTTTTTGCACATCCCACGTTCAATATATTGATTCCTCCTCTTTAACTTGACCGTCGAGTACTCGCGGCTGCCTTCCCCACCATCAGTGAAGGCCACATGCTCTAGCAATTTGTTTAAATTTCTTACTTTTTAATTGTTTCAACACACTTGTCACGTTTTACATACTGTAGATTAACTTGCACCTCGTTGCTCACCGAACTTTACACGTTGCACTCCATTACAAGTTCGAAACCACGAGATTCGTGGTTGGGGTGGGGGCCTTCGAAGGTGTTAAAGGCTCGATTTCGGGTTCAAGAGCTTGAAGTGGTTACACTGTCAACTGATTTGGGTGAGAATATTTGAGGTTTGCAAGATGAAATCAGGTCTTGGGTTCGACGATTTGGGATTTGGGTTCACAATTGGGAGCGAGGAGAACTCAGGTCAGGGTTTTTGTTTATGTTTACACGACTTCAGTCTAGTTTTGGGGTAAGGTGTGTTTGGGAGTTGGGTTGGGATAATGATATGGCATTTAACTGCCACATGTAAAATCCGTCCTCCACGTATGCAGTGTTTTTTGATGGGATGGACTTGATGGGTAATGGAGTGGTGTAAAGTTCGGTGAGTAATGGTGTGTAGGTTGATGTAGTGAGTAAAACTTAGACACTAACAATTAACTTGAATAGAAGCTACTCGAAAGTAGAATGGGACAGTACGCTACACCGTTTCCTGGTTAATTTCCGCTATAGAATTTTCTCTGCAAATCCTTCTCGAATTGAAAATCAGTAGCAGAACCTAAGCTGTGCAATGGATGCATCGAGGGTTACCCAACTGAAAAAATTCGTCGACCAGTGCAAGGCCGATCCATCTGTCCTCTTCGATCCCTCCTCTCCTTTTTCCGTGAATATGTCCAAATGTATATTTGTCTGTATATATTTTTGTGTTCGGATAAGACGATGCATGTTTTATTATAATTTTTTTATTTTTCAGTCTTGGAGGGAAGATTCCTAATTCTGCGAACGAGGCGGGGAGTTACAAAGCGGTATATTTTATTTCATTGCAGAAATTTGGGTTTAGTCTTTCGTATTTGTTCCCATGTGGCCGATATAAAAATCAGCTTCATTGACTTTAACGTGAAGGGCAAAGACTCCAAAAGGAGAAAATATGAAACTATTTTCTCTAATAATCATGAAATTGAGTTATAAAGCTGTGGGAATGATTCATTTCAATACTGTTGTTTTCTGAAGCGGTAACCGATTAATTATGTTTTTGGACTATAGTTTACGGTTTAAAATTTATAATGTTAAAAATGCAATTTTTTTTTGCTTATTTTGCATCTTCTTTCTTTATGGAATTTGAGTTTTAAATGTGTATTATGCAATGGAATACAAAAGTCTCATGCGATGGATGAGAGAGATGAGGATATGGAAGACTTGGAGGAGATTCACCCGAAGCATGAAGAAGAAGAAGAAGAAGAAGAAGAAGAGCCTGATATAATTGAGTCTGACATTGAACTAGACGAGCCTGATAATGAACCTCCACAGAAGGTCTAAACCAGCTACATTTTCTGTTTTGTTTTAAATTTGATTAAGGGCGTGATGTTTCTGGTAGTAAATAAGTTTGGACATTGGAACTTATAGATGGGAAAACCCAGCATTGAAGTTAGTGAAGAAAACTGTGATGCTTCTCAAGAGGCTAGAATTCAGGCTATGGAAGCAATTTCTGAAGGTAACTTGCAGACTAGTTAGGATACATGTTCACAAAAGAAATTGTTAGCTAAGTTGTATTTTGTTTTGATGTGAGTTAAAAGGGTTTTGCATTGATCAGGTAAGTATGATGAAGCAATCGAGCATCTTACCAAAGCAATTCTGCTTAACCCTACATCTGTTATTATGTATGCAACCCGAGGTAAATTTTGTTTTTTTAAATGTTATATATTGATCAGGTTTATTTTCTTTAACCTTAGGCATTTATTATATGCTTCTCTAATGTGTGAATTTGATGGTTTATGTGCTATAGCTACTGTGTACATAAAAATGAAGAAACCTAATGCTGCTGTTCGAGATGCCAATGCTGCTCTTGAGGTTGTAACGCATTTCTGAATTTGCTTGCTGATGAATTTAATTGCTTCCTATCAGCCAATATTAGCAATGATTTTTTGTGAAATAAACTTGTGTGTGTGGAAATGTCTCAGATGCATTTTACCTTGTAAAACTGAGGCCATCATTACTATTTCCATGCATCCTGTTCAATTTCAAAAATATGAATGTATTATTACATAGGAGATAAACATCTTTGAGTACAATTTCTTCCGTGATTTTCTATCTTGAGACTAGCTTGTCTAATCTGGATATACTCGTCCAGAAATTAAAATAAAATGTAGCTCAGTTATTTTCTGAATAACTTATACTCTGTAATAAGCAGCACTTCTAGCTAGAACTGTTTTGGGGCCATCCAAGGGCATCCGCTGTATGTAGTGTTATTCAGCAGGGTGTTTAATCCTCACACTTGCATCATCACCACAAAAATTATGGAACTTCAAGTTCTTTGGTGTTGGTTGGTCTTGGTGAAAAGTAGACACTTGCAATGCATGGTTTTTGCTGACATTGGGACTCATGGATATCATTATGTTATCACAGATCAATCGAGATTCTGCAGAAGGGTGCAAATCCCGTGGCATGGGGCGAGCAATGCTTGGCCAGTGGGAAGAGGCTATTAAGGATCTTCACTTGGCTTCAAAGCTGGACTATGATGAGGAAATTAATGCTGTACTTAAAAAGGTAGCATGTAGCATCATATACGTATTTGTGTAGCATATTTTCCCTGCACTTTTTGCCATAGCTAGTGATTGCCAGTGTGACAATAGAGACAGACTAGAGAAAATGGTATTTTAGACTACTCTTTGGTGCAGTAGTACTTTTCAAAGAATTTCCCTCCTTTTTGTGGCTAATTTAAGTCAGTTGTTGATGTGACAAATTCTTGGCAATATGTTGAGCCCAATGCACACAAAATTGAGGAACACTGCCGCATATATGACAGGCTGCACAAAGAGTCAGAAGACCATAAGATTGAGCTTGAGCGTCGTCGTCGCCGAGCTGAAGCTCAGGTAAACCTTGTTTGCCCTTGCCCTTGCCCTTGCCCTTGCCCTTGCCTTTTGTAATTATGTGTTGTCTGAAACGTATCTGATTTTCCATTTTGCATTCTGTTATAGGCTGCATATGAAAAGGCTAAGAAGCAAGAGCAGTCATCATCCATCAGGCCTGGAGGTATGCCAGGTGGCATGCCTGGAGGTTTTCCTGGTGGCATGCCTAGAGGTTTCCCTGGAAGCATGCCTGGTGGTATGCCTGGGACGGTAGATTATAGCAAAATACTTAACGTAAGTATGTTTCCTATTTCCCTTTGTTAAAATATAGTCTAAAACTTCTTTAGTGCTGATAATATGAAGTTATTTTCTCTTACATATTGAGTTTAATGGTCATGTATTAGAATCACACATTGTTTGGGAAAATATAAATGATCCACTTAATAAGGTGAGGGCAATCCTCCCCTAATAAGCTGGTTTTATTAGGTGGAGTTAGGCCCAATATTCCCTAACAGTGGTATCAGAGCCCAGATTGTGTGGCTAGATAAATCGAGGTGGTAGAAAATTCTCATGAGATGGTGGATCCATGGTAACGTAGTGGGTGCAGGCTACGATGGAATATCTCGATAAGTGGTGATTTACCTCGTGAGCCTTGTTGGAGGGAGGGATTGTTGGGGCAAACAAGTCCCACATTGGTTGTGGGAAGAAAATAAATTCACCATATAATCCAAGTGGGCTAGTCGAGGTTAGCATTAAACTGATCTAAGGTGTAGTTAGAGGAGATGAAACGAAATATATCATAGGAGACTAAATCACT